TTGGTGGGTGTGATGGTTTTAGCGTAATGGATATGGTGGTTGTGATTTTTGGTACCAAAGGTAGTGGTGCTGCTTTTGTTGGCCGTGATGTTGATGGTATGATGATGGTGGTGGTGCGGGTGATGGTGGTGGCGGTGTTGACACTGATGGTGGTTTTGTAGTTGAAAATGGTGGTTCGTTGGTGGTGACATGGTGGTTTTGAAATTGAAAATGGTGGTTTTGAAGTTGAGCGTTGGCGGTGGCGTCGTGGTGTGTGGCTGTTCATGTGGTGGTGGCCTCGGCGGATGCAGGTGGACTTTGGCGTGTTATGGTAGTGGATCTGGCATTGTTGGCAGTTCTGGGATAGTGGTCCTAAACAGTTATGGTACAGGCGGTGGCAACGACATCATGGTGTTGGTGGCGGCGATAGTCGAGTGGGACCAATAGGGTTTGTGACCAGTAAGTTGGTTGATTGTGACCAATAAGTTGAGCAATTTGTGACCAATATATAATATGCGATTGTGACTCACAAATTACTAAGTATTGATTGAGAAATAACTTGTAATTAATTTGACAAATTGCGACCATTAAATAAATTGTGACTTATAAAGAACTTGTTTGGGAAGGATTAAAATTCAATTAAAATTGAAAATATAATCGTTATTGAGTCTCACTCGTCTAATAAAAGTCAACTTTAATGGCTATATTTTCAATTTTAATTTGATTTTAATCCCTCCCAAACAAGTTCAAAATTTATAATTTGTGATCGATAAATGAACTAACTTCTAAACACTTTGTGACCGATAAATAAATGGATTATTCTATGTGTATACCTTGTGATGTACACAATCTTTTACACCCCCCTCACATTGATACACAATCTTTTACACCCCCCTCAATGTGAGGGGTGTGTAAAAGATTGTGTAAACTATTGTGTGTGTACACATAGCACTTCCCTAAATAAATTACGACGTATGAAATTTTGATTTGTGACCGATGAACAAATTGTGACCTATGAAATTTTTGAATTGTGACCGTAAAATAATTTGTGACATATAAAATTTGTGATTTGTGACCAATGAATAATGTGTGACTTATTAATTTAATAGATTTGTGATCGATGAATAAATTGTGACGTATAAATTTTTGATTTGTGACCAATAAACAAATTGTGTCCTATAAATTTTTTTGAATTGTGGCTGTAAAATAATTTGTGACATATAAAAATGGTGATTTGTGACCAATTATATGAAATTTGTGACCAAATTATATGGAATTGTGACCTTAATATATTTAATTAATAAAATATATGTTTAATTAATTTATTTATAAAACAAATTTAAAAAAATTTGAGATTTGAAATTTTAAACCTTAAAAATTTTGAAATATGAAATTTTAAACATTGTCTCTTAAATTAGAAATGTGTGAAATTTAACCTCTTA